ACAGCTATTAACAGTTACTCCTAGTGTCAGATACTGGGGATAGATTACAGTAATAAGTCAGTAATTTTCTGGTACAGTCTGAGTTGTAAGCTAATTGAGTTTTAATGGTGTTGGGAATTTACACCTGCCTACAATTAAGTTTAATTAAACATTATGCATATGTTTTAATACCATGTTATATTTAAGTAAAACATTATTGTATGTATTATCATAATGTCATATCTTCGTAAGTATAATATGTTAATATTAATAATAACTTTCAGAGTCTGGAATACCTTCAAGTTTGAAAAGCAAATAAATGTGAATATGGTATTGCATTATTAAAATGACTGCTGATTTTTTTAAACATGAATAGTAATCATTAAATGTTAAAATGCCAGAATAAGAGTGTCGATAATTCTTAGTTTTAATCTTAACTAATAAAATTCACGAATATAATTTCACTTTGATGTATATTTCTGTTACTTTTCTCACTTATTGAATGATATGTTTACTCGATGGTTTTATGTAGGATCTCTTAAATTGAAGCCTTAAACTTTGTATGTTGTGTGTGAGCTTAGTGCTTCATTTAGTGGAACATACATGGGCTTCAGCCACTGTAACCTACATGTAAGGAAAAATCCTATACTTGTATAGTGGAACACAATTTCACCAAAAGCACATTCAAAATTGCTGTTTTTATTTAGGAAAGCTTGACACAATACAGAGTGTTTTAACAATAGTCACGGAAACAGTTTAGTTTGCTTTTCTTGAATCTCAATCAGCACATTTCTAACTGAAGCTGTTGCTAGCATTGTATGTTCTGGACAGCATTCGTTGATCCTCAAAATATCTGATACACATTTCTTTTGTAATAACCAATTTTGTTGAAAGAGGGAGAAAATCAATGTAATACCAGCTTGTAAGAAAAACAACTTGGCTATTGTAGCTGGGTGATTTAACAAGTTTTAATATAATTGATTACCTGTGAATACTATTTCATTAATTAATGTCACATAAGCTAATTGATTAATCATCAATGTTAATGTTTCTGAATATTATTTTTGATTATTACAACAATCGATTAATAGAAATTACAATTATATTATTGTCATGAAACTAATGAAAATTAGGGTTTCCAGTTGTTACTGTTTTTGAATATTCCGACTATCCAAGTACTATTATGTTTGTTTGTTGTTAAGCACAAAGCTATGTAATGGTCTATCTGTGCTCTGCCTAATTTTAACCTTATTAGTTGTTGTTGTTTTTTACTTCAAATATCTTCAGCTGTGGTGATTAGTGAGGGGGTGAGCACATGATTTGATGTTCAATTCCCATTGCTACCAAACTTTCTTGCCCTGTCTTTTTTACGGCAAAGCTACTAAGGCTATCTGCCAATGACACTAATTTTGAACTGCTGACTAAACAGAAAGCAACTGTTGCCAACTTTTTTTTCCACCTATTTGAACTTCTGACAATAGTTAAGGCAACTGGCTTGAAATTAAAAACTGTTCATTGTTGATAATGCCGTAGAAATAACACTTTCAATTACACTTGAATGATGTTTATTTATCTATTTATAATAATGTAATCATGTACATTTCAGTTCGTGCAGTCACATTTTCTTTTTTTTTCCATACATGTTAGACCTTGAACTTGTTTACCTCTAATTTATTGCAGCTCTGGTGGAAAATATGGATTTTCTGATCGTGTAATTGATGGTATGTCTGTGACTGTGAACTCTGTCATCATCACTTTCAGGTCTCCTGCATTTCAAGCATCGTTTCAGGTGTCTTTTTTTTAAATATAGCTTTAACATTAGTTATATATGTACAATTTAAAACAAATATATTTTTTTATGTACATATATTTTTATTTATATCCTCTGAAGAAAGTTTTTATAGTACTTATAAATATCCTCCTAAGAAAGCAGTTAAAGTATCTTGTGTATATATACACACACACACACACTCTCTCAAGAAAGCCTTTATAGTATTCTATTTATATATAAAACCTTTTACAGTATTTTATTTATTGGAAGAAAGCAGCTTGTAATGTTCCAGGTTTATGAATTGAAAACTCTTAATTTGTTTATTAATAAATTCAAAGTTGAAATTATTATACCTAAACCTTGTCATCCTGGTACCTATAGGTACTGTATATGACTACCTGCACACTTTTCTCATGTTTCACAGTTCCGGTTAACTATATTCGTCCTGGTACCTATAGGTACTGTATATGACTACCTGCACACTTTTCTCGTGTTTGACAGTTTGGGTTAACTATATTCGTCCTTGTACCTGTAGGTACTGTATATGACTACCTGCACACTTTTCTCATGTTTGACAGTTTGGGTTAACTATATTCGTCCTGGTACCTATAGGTACTGTATATGACTACCTGCACACTTTTCTCATGTTTCACAGTTCCGGTTAACTATATTTGTCCTGGTACCTATAGGTACTGTATATGACTACCTGCACACTTTTCTCATGTTTGACAGTTTAGGTTAACTATATTTGTCCTGGTACCTATAGGTACTGTATATGACTACCTGCACACTTTTCTCATGTTTGACAGTTCAGGTTAGCTATATTCGTCCTGGTACCTATAGGCACTGAATATGACTACTTGCACACTTTTCTCATGTTTGACAGTTCGGGTTAACTACATGTGAAATTGCAGGCTTTAACATGTCTTGATTAATGTAGCATATGTTTTTCTTTGGTATTAATTTTGCATGAAAAGTCCAAAGTTGTCACTTTACAATATTTTAAAAAATTAAAATATTTGATAGTTACCTTGTATTCTTAGTGTTCTAGGTACATAATATTGACTGAGATAATTGTGATGTTTATTTATGATGAATTCTACATTGTATGAGTAGTGTAGATAATTATAAGCTTGGGGTGTTTTTGAGAGTAAACATCTCAGTTTGATCATTTTAAAGATGTATATATGTATCTCTCTTTTTCTAGCCAAAAAAAAAGAAATAAACGTGTATAAATGTTACTTATGATGTAGTATGTTAAAAGAAAAATACTAAACCCTAGAACCCGAGCACTTTCAAATGGTGGACCTTTCTTCATCAGGGGCAAAATTTTTCCCCTGGTGAGGAAATATCCACATTTTGAAAGTGCTTGGATTATATGGTTTTATATTTTTGTGTTAAATATTTTCCAAATATCACGAATGTGAAAAGGTATCTTAAAGTACAGAACACGTATATTATGTCTTTTACGTGATATTGAAGTATTTGTTTCGGTATTCTTTGTGATATTTATATACATTACTCTGTTTGCTTATTACCTATACCCACAGCCAAAATATTTAAAATTTTCCTTATGTAAGATTTCCCGACTTCTAGTAGAAAGTAGAACCCCTAGCTGGAAGAAAGAAGACCTCCGACTCACACGCATCAAGCATCCTGAGAAGAGAGAAATTCTGCTTTTCAAACAAATAGAATGGCAAGTCCTTCGAATAGAAGCAAAAGCTGTTGGAAATACTGCACTTTTGGGACATCCAAATGTTACGTTAACTCCACTTCGACTAATCACTAACCAGGCTTGTTGCAGAATTACCGTCAAAAAGAAACTTAACGGTAAAATAGTTTTAGTGTGTTGTTTTATTACCACTGTGATTTTAAACTTTATGTATGGATATATCAATGAATTTTGCTGTAAGTTTCACCTAGCCTTCCAGTGGCTCAGTGCTAAGTCTAAGGGTTCATAATACTAAAAATTAGGTTTTGGTATTCATGATGGGCACAGCACAAATAACCCATTGTGTAGCTTTGTGTTTAACAAGAAACAAAGAAACTGAATTTCTTAATTAAATAACACAAAAGCAAATTTTTTCTACCAATTTCTATTATGGATGTTAATTTTTTTTTTTTAAATAAACAAGAGGGAATCCTCAATAGCCACGTGTGTAATTAGATCTCAAATCGGTTAAAAGATGGAGCTATGAGCTTAAAGTTTGTACTTTAAAAAAACTCGGAGCCATTCTATGAGCCACTATGCCGCGGCTAAAAAATCAACCATTAATAATGTGCACCTATTTTTTTGACATCAATGACTCGTAGTAGAATTAATAGAAACTTGAAAAATACTCCTGAAAATTAGTAGATTTTAATTTTTACTCCAAAGATCTCTTCAAATTTAATAAGTCACTTATGAAAATAAAAAAAGAATGTGTACACTTTATTCTCCTAACAGTTTTTAGGTAGTCAGTGCATGTTGTACTAAAACCAGAATCTTTTGCTAAGTACATGAAATACGAGTATGAGATAACACGTACTACATTCACAGAACTAGATTCAAAGGCATAGTATCAGGGGGCCCTTCTATACGTGGGGCCCTGCACAATTGCCCAGTTTGCCAATAGGTAAGACTGCCTATGGTAATTATATCATTCTCGTCATTTTACTCTAAGCTCTTACTTTATTTTTTAATATTTGAATTGGAGAAATTTTTTCTAATCTACCAGTAACATTGATGTGTTCTTCTCTTAGTTTATTTTGCAAGCTTCCAAATTTTAGTTTCAAGAAAATCACAGTATTTTCATACAAACTGAATATGTTTACTCTATTTTTTAATAAACTTTTCGTTGATATGCCATTCTTATTCTCATGTGTAGCATTCATACTTTACATTACTTTATTGTATACAATGAGAGGTTAAAAAATGATTTTTATGGCAATTTTAAAGCAATATTGAACTTGGAAAGCATAAATGTGCTGAGCAAGTGACTCGTTTCTTTCAAACTTGCTTCTTTTGCTCCTCAAGCCACCCGCAACTAATTGAGCCAGCCCTGAGTTTTCTTATTGTGGGGCCTCATTTACTGAATTCTGCCCGGGGCTCCAGAATGACTAAGATTGCCCGTGATAATTACATATGCTTATTCACTGCCTGCTTCACTTATCACCATTCTTGCTTATGGTACAGATGTATATTTATCCCAAAAGGAACAATATACAAAGAAACCTAGTACCTTAAAACATTTTATACAACATTTTAAAAGTGCAATCATTACATGGATGTGGTCGTAATTTTTAATATCAAAGACCTATACAAGAATGTTCAGAAGTTAAGATTTTTTTTGGCACAAAGAAACAATTTTGTTTACTTAAGCTACAGACATCAGTTAGAACTACATCTGTTTAAAATGTAATCTTGATTTCTTTTAATAATCAAAATTTACTATAAACTTTAGGATACTGTTTATTTGCCAACTTTCTGGCTTGCAACATTTTTAGTGTATTCTCATTTCATAATAACTGACCTAACACAATCAGAGGTGGATCTAACTAATTGAAAGTGTATTCTCATTTCATAATAACTGACCTAACACAATCAGAGGTGGATCTAACTAATTGAAAGTGTATTCTCATTTCATAATAACTGACCTAACACAATCAGTGGTGGATCTAACTAACTGAACAGTTTTTCTTTTTGCCATATAATTACTTTTTTAGTTTCTTTTCAATTCAGGAGTTGTAATGTTTTTAAATGACATAATGTATTAGATAAATGCAAATATTTTATATTCTGTTTAAAAAGTGTATTTCATCAAAATACCACTAGGTGCTTTGCTGAATTTAGAGACTTTGATAAGACATCAGGTATTAGAAACAAAATCTAAGATAAATGTGTAAAATAGAACTGTTTATAATTGTTTTTTTATTACAAAGATCAGCTATTGATTGTTGCTGGAAAAAAAGGTTTTGTGATGTTGAAAGCACAAGTAAAACCATCTGTAAAGAATCGGATGCTGTGTAGTTAACAGTTCTTTTTGTGTCACAAACTTATCTGGATATTCAAGTTTTCTTTCAATCCTTACAGACTGCAGCATTATAGGAACAAGGCTAGTTATGATACTGGATGACTTGTTGTGGGTTCTTACTGATGCTCAATTAATTGCTGCCCTACACTTCATGCAGTCGCTAAAAGACCTAGTCCAACGTGCAACCCAGAGGGCTCAAAAACTAAAGGCTGTGCAGAAGTTGGCAGTAAGTCATGTTCGTGTGAAAAGTATACTTAATGTCTTTCCTAGTTAGTTATTTTACCATGCTGTTATGGGATACGTATAAGATGCTCTCCGAAAATGTGCCAGACCGTGAATTTGAGTATCTGTGGTTCACATCCCATTGCCACAAAAATATGCCCCAAACTTTGGGGTCACAGGTGCATTGGTAAAAGTCAAATTTCACTATTCGAGTAGAAAATCCCAACATTTGTCAGTGGGTGGTGTTGACTAAGGTTCATGGTTTGTGTCTCATTGCTTGACACTTTGTGGCCGTGAAAACATTATAAGTGATGGTCAAGTCTCATTGCTCGATCGAATAGCTGGCCGTGAGCACTGTTGACTAGCCGCCTCCCAGTCTAATCTTAATGTCAAACTTAAAAGATGACTAGTGACTAGTGCAGAGAGTGTTTGTTTAGCTTTGTACAAATTTGTAAGATAAATAAAATTATAAAAATACAGTTTTCTAAAACAGATCTACATGTAGGGTACCATTAAAAGGTGATATACATTTCAAAATTTTGATTTCAGTTAACTGTATTTGTTTTATGGTTTGATCATTTGAATAGATTTATTTAATCACTTTTATTCACACTAATATTGAAGTAGATATATTTAAAAAAATGTCATTATTTTATCTAAGTAAGTGAATTAGATTTTACCTAGACATCGGAGTTTCAAAAATGTACTTGATGGCAAATTTTCTGTATTAATTGATTTTGAAATTTGTTATACACTGTGTTCTCAAATATTATTGAAATTGGGAAATATTCTGTAATTTCATTTAACAATTTACCAATCTGGAAATACTTGGGATCTTTTTTTATTTGGAACTTTTATATAGAATTCAGAAAAATAAAATTTATAATTAAAAAATCTGAAGTGTTGTGTTCCTTTGCTTACCAAGATCATTTTGTCTACTTATTGGTTGTCTGGGCATTGTTTAGCTTAAGTTGCAACATTGTGTACCGTTGGTGGATTGTATGATATATGCCATTAAACTATGTATAGCTTGATCCAATCAGAAGGTGCCATACATTTGTAAGCAACTGAATATCAACATTTATAATGTTAGTTCTATTCTGTATAAATTCATTTTAAATTATCCCTTCTTTCTAAAACCCTTAACGTGGTACTTTAGATGAGTTACTCTCTCTCTCTCGCCTACTGAACGTTCATGACATTTTTGACCTAGTCCCAAAGTGATGCTGTGCTTCAGAGCCAGGCTCAGTCTCAGTACACAGTGAAACCAAAAGCTGATGTAAGCCAAGCGGTCACACCGTTGACACGCCTCTTTAATCACTACGATGTGATCGAGACATCCTGTCATCTCTATTCAGGAATGATCGAACTCCACTTGTGTGATGACTTGGATCCAAAGGGTAATACTTGTATTTTATATTCTAACTAAAATGCATTTAACACAGAGTACTAGAATAAAAGACATTCATCAATATGTAGGTGAAAGAGTTTGAATCTTTTATTTTTTGATGTTATCTTGTTTCAGTTTATTACAGGACTCTGTGATATAAGCAGACAAGATATACTACATTTGTTTATTTTACAGGACGATCAGGATGTGAAAACCTAAAGAATGGTGGTGCTCTTCAGATCTCTCTTCAAAAATTAGTGATTGATTATTATCCTTATCACTGTGCAAGTAAGTCGTAACAATTTTATCATCATTATTAAAGGACTCATTAAGTTCTCATGCTGTGTTCCTGACATCTTCTGTCTTCTTTTCATCGTGAGCATTGCTGAATAAACACAGATAAAACCATCTAAACCTCCTGTATTGCATGATCAGATTGGTGTTTATCCAATGATATTAATTTCATCAGTTACTGCTAGTGTGACCCAAAAGACTTGGGTCCAAGCCCCTATTAAAAAAACCCGTCTACATCTTGAGGTACAGTAAGCTTTCGCTCGGTCCTTGAGGCTCCTTTATTAAACAGTTTAATGTTGTGATTAGCTTTACAGTAGAAATATTTTTTTAAAGGAACTAAAACTGCTACATTTCACCCCAAAAGAGCAGATCATCTTCGGGCAAGTAGGGTTAACATTAAACTAGGATGCGTTTTTGGATTGATTTGCTCTGTTTTTGTTTTGTGTATTTGTTTTACGAGTGAGGATGTTGTGATATTTGGAATGGAAATTTTCTTAAACTTGAGACTTATTCATTTGGGTAATAGAACAGTTGTATATAGTGGGTTTAATTGCTTAAAAAATACGTTTTCACTGTAAAGCTGAACCAATAATTAAATTTATTGACTCAGTGGGAATTCTTATCCATTAATAATAAT